AATTTTTTTTTCTTAATAGTCTTATGAACGTGGACTTGGCGCGATTTTTTTACAGTGAAACTGTTTTTGTTCGGATATGATTTTCCAAAGGTATGTTAATATTTTGAAAAATGAAAACTGTCATTGCATTATTTAAGATTCTTTTTTGAACTGTAATTTATGTTAAATGCCGATAATAACAGACACGATTGTTAAGTCGTCTCATTATACTGCACATTGTAAATATGTATAAAGAAATAATTTACGTGGGCTGATAAGGTTCTATAACAAATGAATGATCAAAGAGTTGTCATCGTACTGTAATTAGAATGTTTGGTAAGTATAGAGTAAAGAGAAAAAATTTCAAACTATAACAATTATATTCACAATATTAAGAAGACATACAAGCCTAAATTTTTTCTTTACAAAATTTTTTTATGTAAAAGCTACAAGTTTTTAAAAAAATCCTTTTTTTTTTTCTAATTACTAACCAATAATTGAAACTTTAAATGAGAATTTAAATTTAGACAAATTAAAAAAAAAAATTACTGGTAGAAAACAAATACACCTCTTTGTTTAATGGCGCGATTCAGATAAGAGGTACATACATTTAATCTCAATCTGACATTGAAACATAATACTATCTCTGAACCTCAATAAACGTTCGTATCCTTTCAGTTGCTTGCTTCTTTCTATTACATTATAATTGAATAGAAGTATTACCTACATTTTATGTCTCATATCTTGTTACTGTTACAATATTAAGGTTGTACAAATAACACTATTGTAATCGTTAAAAAGTGTTAAGTAATTAAATTATTAAAGCATCAATTCAATTAAAAATTTTTTTCTATGAATCTAAGGGACTCTTTAACATATTAAAACTATTAAATATTTGCTGTCTGCAAATTTCTATACAGAAATTTATGTTACAATAAATTTAAATCAATGTTAACTATAAATTATTAAAGTTACTATTATTTCGGCCTTCCCCTTTACAAATAAAATGCCAAATTTTATGGAAGCTTTTTTATTATCATCATATTGATTTTTTTTAGCGACTCAACCTGTTCATTACTTTCTGACCTAATAAACCTCTTTAAAAAAAAATATAAATGAAATTTTGTATTTATCAATTTCTTATATAAATTTTTTTTCAAAAAAAATAATAATTTTTCTTAATAAAAAGTGAACAAATAAATTTTCATCAATACTACAATTACTATAAAATAAGAAGGCGCATGTGAATATAAAAGAACTCGAGCTACCTCTCAGCTCTTCATGTTCTCTTACTAAAAAAATTCAAAAGAAAAACATTTTGTAAATATTTATCAACATTTCTTTTTTTATAAAAAAAAAAGTAAACTTTATTTTTTTAACGACTGGCATTAAACTTACGAATTCTTTAACAAAAAAATAGTTATGCAATGTTTTGAAGAATTGAATGATTTTAAGTATCAGCATAATTACAATTTTTTCTCACAAAATTATCACTTTGAGTATTT